TAGACAAATGTGAGTCAAATATTGCGCACTGAGTAAATTAATATATTTTTGGACAATTTTTGTCTACAAATTAAATCAGACGGGCTAATTCCATCAAAAACAGCAGCAGATTTGCAATTTAAAATATAACTCAAATTAATTGAATTTTTAAATTGTTTAATAATATAAACTGAAATAAATAAAAAAAACTGCATAGTTCTTATTAGCAAATTCGTATCAGAATATAATATAATCATAAATTTGAATCAAAAATCCTTGAAAAGTTTTACATGCGTTTTAAAACTTTTAGGCAAACACGAAAACTGGACGCAGGTTGAATTATATTTTGTCGAGATGTCCGGTCAGGTTTTAAATTGTCGTTGTTTAATTTCTAAACAACGAAAAATTTTTTTTTTGTAAAGTAAATATTCTTAAAGTTTACATTTTTCGGGAGACTAAACAGAGCAAAACTATCAACTTTTTCTGTCCTTGCACTAAAGAGCTCTTTACTACAAGCAAATTGATTCTTGTAGGTGTAATTGACAATGATAAAGTTTGATTACATGAACATGAAAAGTTCATAGTTCAAAACTCTGTGGGAACTACTAAGTCCATTTTTTGTTTCGAGATGCAACAGCAAAAAATAACGTAGTTATGGAAAAAAACTTAAAAGCGTTGCAGGGATTTGCTTTGAACTGACACGTTTGAAGTAACTGGGTATGTGAAAAACAACTGCATTGTTTTAGTCTTATCGACTTTAAATATTAATATTTTCCAAGCAAGTAACAAAAAAGCTTCCGTCTATGAGAAAATTGATAGTTTTAGTACACAATGCTATCCTGCGTGCAGATTATTAGTTATCTCAAGGGATGTGACTGCGAATGAGACAGATTCTTATTAATATGATGGTGATGATATCCAAATTTAGCTGGACATTTTAAACAAATTGTTTTATTGTTTTAGTTTTTTGTTGTTACTGATTTTAGTTATTCAAAGTACTAAATTGTTCGTAAGTTCTGAAATTAAGGCAAAGTAGCATTCTCATAAGTGAGAACAGTACTATCTTAAACGTCGCAAACCCGTCGATGGGTATAATTATACCAAAAGAAATGATAAATTGTTTGTGGACATGAATAAAACTGTTGCAGTGAGTGTCCCGAATTGTATTAAACAAATATTTAATAACTCATTATTCTTCATCTTTAAAATCATGTACACTTGTTAACTTTTGCAACATTTATGTTCTATCGACAGTTTAAATGTTCATGCTGCACGGCTCTACATTGGAAGGCACTTGAATTAAATAAAAGAATTTACGTTATTTAAAACTGCTTTAATCTGAAGGAACTAACATAATTATAATACTGAATATATAACAATTGATCATTGAAATTATCTTCCAGGCAACACGCCAGCTTGAGCAGCCACTCCGGTGTATCCAGCAACGACGTCCAAGTTCTCGCGTGCTCGATCTCTAACTCTTCGTACACCTTTTTCCTAGAAACAAAAACTTCAATCATGATCTTGCACACTAAGAACTAAACAATATCTATATATACACATAATTATATTGCGACAAAAAAATTGTGGTGACAAATATATGTAGATGAATGTTTCACCAAAAGGACACATAGAACAAAACTTTATGTGAAACTGACCAAAGGTTTTCATTGTCAGTTTTTCACACGTTTACTGAAGTGCTTGGCCTAAGAATGGCATATGGTTTTTCCAACAACCAATTTTCAAAAATTATTATTATATATTACCACCAACAATAATATTGATAGACAATTAATTCAATAAATTATATATCCAACTTCACACTTACCACTTTTTTCAGGTGTTTCTTTATCCATCCTGCTTCTGTCGCATCAAAGATAGCACTAAGCGCAACCAAAACTAGCAGAAATATCGTGAAAAACTTCATTTTGAAAAATATTCACGTAAAATTACTGTTAGGCGTTTAAAAGTCTTGCGGATTTGATTGAGCGAAAGATCGCCTGCAGTATTTATATACGAACAAGCCGTCTGATAACATGGTACTTTACTTCTTCCATAAGAGGCACATGAACTGGTAAAATACCGTGACGTGCACTCAATGAATCATGAGACGCATCGTGCCAACTCTTTATCGGTCATTGTTAATTAGCAGCTTGGTTTAATGCAGATAAGAAATGTTTTCATGTATGGCCGGAGGAGCCGAGAGCCGAGTTCAAATCACTACAATTGTTAGTAAATATTTATTAGGCGAAAAGTGTAATAAATGGTTTTTCAGCAACAAAAAGTTTATGTCCTCGTATTTTTTAACTAATATTAATTTGTCAAATTCAACTGGCTTAATTCATTAAAAATTAAATGTCAATTTAATCGATTTATTTTTTCGATTATTTCAGATAATTACAAGCAGAAAGTAAATAATCTCAATATTTCCAAGCTCGTAGTAACAGTTTTAGTATAACTTAACACTGTTGTATAAATAATATAATGTAAAACTAAATAAAATCCCAATATGACTTTTAAATTAAAACATTCAACAAAATGAACGTTATACTATATTCAAATTGGTCGTAATTTTGGAACTGGATAAATTGTGATTATTTCAAGCCGTTTGATTTCTGCTTGAATCGAATGTTTAACCGAAAAGGAATTAATCTGAATAACGCTTTAAATATAAGTAGAATCGCTCACACCATTTAGAATTTATCCAGTTCCAATGTTGATCCGCATTTGTCAGTGCAACGTTGATTTTGTTGAGCAGTTTAGATTAAAAAAATCACGTTTAAGCACGTTTACCGGGTTACAGTAAATGTTCCATTCAAACATATTCTAAGCTTAATACTCCTATTCTGAAAAACCCTTATTCCTAGAATGATAACTTTTGCAAATAGCAAAATCTTTTACTTGCAACGAACAAAAATGCGACGASCAAAAACTGTTTTATWTTATTTTATTAAAGCTGGTTGGCATAAGGTAAAATAATTTTCATAGACAAATTTATTCATGTATAAGTACGCAAGATTTATTTTAGTAATCAGAATGGTAACGAAATTTATTACCTACAGAAAACAAAAAATAACTATCAATAATAAAGTCGAATTTTAGTATTACAGCTGCATTTCATTTCAAAACGACTAAGGAATAACTCCACACAAGTAATTTATTGAAAATATGCCTATTTAGAAACAATTCCAATATTCAAGTAATAGTGCTGGGAATTTCATTAATCTCTTCCTGGAAATTAGCGTCCAACTAATAATACAATATAAAGGATCGATGTTGAAATGTTATGAATGAGCAAACAAAGTACTGGAAGTGTAAATACCGCTCCGCATAAATACCTGGTTTAATGTAATTTCCATTGACAAGGAAACATTTTTTAATCGATTATCAGATTTGTAATGATAGATGCAATGGAACACAATAAATGACGTCAAGGAACTGCATACTTACACAGCATTCACTTATGAATGTAAATATTTGTTATTTTAATAAGAAATTGTTGCGCTCGTTCTGTTCAGAACGTCTGCATTTTTCTTTGTTGTAACTTTAATTAATTCTCCGTCTAACAGGTTTCCCTGTTATTGTGTATTATTATGGAGTTTAGTTGCATAGGATTGGGGGCTTAATTAAAGCAGAACAAAAAGTTTTTTTAATGTCCACTAAAAGGAGTTAAATAAATGTTTGAGATCGATTAAAAAAGTTAATATAATAATCTGCTTCACATACAGCTAAATTATACATTTAGATTAGATTAGACAACGCAATAATTATTTTAAAAGCAAACTAAAGACGGATAAGTGTTTAGAAAAAAAAGTAGAAACTAACATAGATGACAATCAAATATTTCTCCTCAAAAAAATCAATTTTTTTATACAAAGTATTTTTAGATATACAGGGTGACTCATAAACAATTACATTTTTATTAATTAATTTAAACTATTTTTGTAAATTTAGGAAGTTTTATAGTGTACCCAAATTTTACACAGTCCAAATAAAACCAAAGTTCCTAACTACAGGAAAATAATTATCTTGATTTGTATTTCAACGCTTCTTTGCTCATCAAGTAAAGATATTTTTGCTTACGATTTTAGCTGGACATTTATCATTGTTATTACCAAAACTATGCGTTTTCGGATAAGCAGTATTTGCGCCAAAACTCACTGCTATTGTTAAATAATTATGTAATAATAATATAATATAGTAATAATTAATTACAACGATTGTAAAATTAGATATTCCTAAATCCTTAAAGCATATAATGCAATAATCGACACACAGAACGAATAACATTAAATCAACTGAAAACGAATTTTCATTGCCTCAAAATATTACGTTTTACTAAATTTATCGAAGTATTTGATAAAAAATTGATTATTTATAGTTGATATTTCCTTAATTAAAATTGAGGAGTTGAAAAGTAGTAGTAAACTCAGTTAATCAGCATTAAAATCGATTTTTAGGAACACTACTTTCTCCTTGTAAAAACAGAATATTTTTTACGGAGTTTGAGGAATCAATTATTTAATTAGGTAAAAATATTGCATAGGAAAACTCAACACTTTGCTCTAAGATAATCTTCTCCTAGAATACAGTACTGTTAGTTTCTTTATTACATTCTAATGAAAATTTAACTATTATCTAATATTAAATAGATTTTAGTAGCATATGAGTTTGTGGTGACAACATCTTTACACCTCGTCTAAAAAAATTAACAAGAATTACATATTATCGAAAATAAATTAATGTTATTAATTCATTAATATCTAAACCTATTTAAGCTGCTAATTACCAATAATTAACTGATTAAACGACTGCGATTCGCATTAACCAATGCGCTCGCTCACATGAATCAACACGGTACTTCCCATTTCACAACCTCTTTGTGGAAGACAAAGTGTGGGTACAATTTTATCAGGAAATTTATTCCTATATAAGCATAAATTTCGTGATGTTTAATCATACATTCACAAGACTTTAAATCTATAACAGTGAAGTCAGATAAAACAAAATGAAATTTTTCACAATTTTTCTGTTAGTTATCGTTGCGCTGAGTGCTGTCTTTGGTACAACGGAAGCAGGATGGATTAAAAAACAACTCAAGAAAGCCGTAAGTTGTAAACATATTTTAGACAACAATTTTATCTTTAGGCAAAACATATGTCATTTTTACTAAATAATTTATTTCTGCCAGTTCATCTCAGTTTAATATTAAATAGAAAAGTTTTTAAGTATGGTCAATCGTGGGTGGTGGTAATACATGTGTACCCACCAATAAAAGCTGAGAATCATATTATTATTAACATTTTTGTGGGAGTTATGTTTTAAGTTTGCAAAATGATAATTCAGATTTTCTTTCATCTAGGAGAAGGGTGTGAGAAGAGTTAGAGACAGAGCACGTGAAAACTTGGACGTTGTAGCTGGATATACCGGAGTAGCTGCTCAGGCTGGCCTGTTGCCCGGAAGATAAAATTTTATAAAAAGTGTATTTGCTACATTTAATCATGTAACATCTAATCAGCAATTCCTTACTAGTTGGGAGAATTTATGATTTACTCAGTATTATTAATTGTATTTCAGTTATTAGCATTATTTTATTGAACACATTTCTAAAATTACAATAGCCTTAGAAATCTTTGTTATTATCAAAAACTTAATATAGAAATAAATGAATAAAATGCATTCATCAAAGCAACTTGCTTTTCTTTACTGGAACTATATTGTTTTAAAGAAACATAAAGGGGTAAAAAAATAAAACCAAAAGGAAATCATAGATAATAATTAGAGAGACAATATCACCTAACTTCTTTTTGAACTTAATGGAAGTACAATGTTTAATAGTTCACGATAGTCTATGGAAACTAGCGAATAAATCCCGCAACTTTTAATTGCGTGCACCCAAAGGAATGTGATCTAAAATTATGCATTATGGACAATTTTAGTTCTGAAATGTTTGGAAACATCGTTCAAGAAAGAGCAGCATTTTTATCGCATTGTGTATTTCTAACTTTCAGTAGACTTTTTCATCTTATAAATTGCATATTTGTGTTATACAAAATGATCAATTAATAAACACGATTTGAATAATAGAAACACGTGAAGTAAACTATCAAATCTGTCAAGCCCAATTTGAAAAAGTAATAAGTTTAGTGGCTTTATTATTGGCCAGTAAAAGTTACTAATTGTAGTAAATATTTTTACTACAATTTATTGTACCACAATATATTTACTATAATCTGAAACGACGTTGTTTTAACAACGCTTCAGTTAATTTGTGTACATTTTGTATCATATCTAGAACATTAGTGTTAAACAGATATTTTTTTAAATTAAATTACTTCTGAAACACTTTTATGCACGTTTATTCATTACAGAAACAATTGAAAATAACTCCAAGATAAGCGTATGCATCTATTATCTAATTTGCTGATAACTGTATTTCCATATTGAAACGAAAATTTTAGGTTCACTAGTATAATAAGGTTATCAAATAAAACTTTAAATAGTTCCAAGTCGTTAATTAGCACATATTTTGATAAACGTTTTGGCCAAGRTTATTAATTAGTATYCCAGCTTTTGAAATACACGGTATTTCACCGTTTTGCTGGCCTCTTGAAGAAAAAGTGAATTACCATACTATCAGATGATTTAATTGCATATAAATTTTAACAGACGATGCGTGTAGTCATTACTACTCTTACTATGTAAGGTGTTTAAATTTTATAAATTCTAAAATAAAATTGTATATATACAGGGTGGCCATTTTCTGAATCTTTGTATGGGTAACTTTTTTAAAGATAGAGAATCCGTTAAATGGGCAAAATTGGGCAGAATTCGATTGCCTATTCATCACCGCTTTCAAAATGTAGGTACCCGACTTGGTTCTTGAAATATCCTGAAAAGACAAGAAATCAACACTTTTTTCATTATCACTTATTATGTAAACTGCTTAACTTAGAAAAAAAGTTAAAACTGCCCTTAGTACAACTTTTTGCTTTGAATCCAATAAACTAGCACTCCTGTGCTTTGTGTGATAATATAGTTCTTGTATCCATAGCCTACCACACATTGTTTAACTTTTTTTGAAGTTTTACGGCGGTTTTAATTCAGAAAAAAATAAGGATTTTAAAAGACCCACAGCCAACTATGATTACCATCTAAGAAAAGATAAGCTTATTTTTTATCTCGTAAATCAAGTTGACTATGACAACGAGAGCTAGTTTATTGAATTCAACGCAAAAAGTTCTACCAAAGACATGTTTAACTTTTTTTCTAATTTAAGCAGTTTACGAATTATATGAATTCAAAAAGTGTTGATTTCTTGCCTTTTCACGATATTTTAAGAACCAAGTCGGGTACCTAAATTTTGAAAACGGTAATGAATAGGCAATGGAATTTTGTCCATTTAACGGATTCTCTATCTTTAAAAATGTAGAAGTTACCCATACAAAGATTCAGAAAATGGCCACCCTGTATATATATATATATACATATTCTTTATTTCCTACAGAAAAATGCTACCGACCGAATCAGTCTTTCTGCCCTAATAAAATTGTTTAAATGCTCTTTTAAAAAATTAAAAAATAAAAACAACCATTGTATTATTAATTTTTACAATTTTCCTATTGTAAAAACCATTAGACATTGTTATGAGCAACTACATCTACATAAACGTTTTATTATTTTTTTTTTATTTGAATTGTCAACTGTATCTATCCAAAAAGTCCTCCTAACGTGTATCGTGATACAGTAATCTGGCAACTGATTAATCTCAAAAGAAGCTGAATATATAAGAAAATTAACCAATATGAAAATTTTGGGAGATCTTGGAATCCGAAATATGTATTCTAAATTCTGCAGAACTAACTACTTTTTTCGCAAATTTCAAAACATTTTCAGTTCTTCACTATATCTAAGCATGTGCGGTCTGTAATTTATATAACAGATATTGAGAGTTGATAGACACTCTAGAACCATGTTTTTTTGTATTCCTGTATATAATTACTGTTAAATAATATTAGTTTTGTTTTTTCTTTTTTGTACCTTATACATATTTGATTTTACTCTTATGTTGGTTTTTTATGTAATACTGGCTATATGAATACCTTTTATTGTAGAGTATGAAATTATTTTTACTGTATTGAAAAATGAAATCACTTTGTTTTCCCCTTTAGAGCCCTGAAGGTGGCTCAAATATAACCGGAACGTTGTCCCAAGCAAAATGAGGTACATTTTTATTTTTGCCACAGTCTATTGATATATAAATCAAATGACCTAAATAGGATTCTTTTACCAATTACCAACACGGTAACATCAAAATACATCAAAATAAGTCTTAATTGATACTGCCATAAAGATTTAGTAAAAAGCATCAATTCAAATTATAAAAATTTTACAAAATATAGATCAAAATTAAACTTTCAAATCAGCTGCCGACAGTTTTAAAGCATCGAATCGTTTAACCCAGTTGACAATATGAGTCAACTCACAAAAACTATAATAACTCTAAAAACATATTAAAACTAAGTAAATAGTTTGTTTTCTTTGCTTTAAAACAAGTGTTTCAAATTAAACATTTCAAGTAAATGCTGCGAAACCTGATAATAAAAGTAACATGAAATATGCGCGGCACCTTTGCAAAAACACATAAAACAGACAAACTAATATTGAGCAAATAGGCCAAAGGCAAGGTTTTGACCGAGATAATTGTTTCGATAATAAACTTTGAGAATAAAAGCACCGAACAACACCCAAATCGATCAGGTTACAATTGTTGTGTTAAAATGAAGGTACAATTATTACTTCTCATTTTTGCAATAGTGTTTGCCGTCTGTCTTGCAAGTGTTGATGCAAGCTTTTTTAATAAAGATGAGATAATACAGTTCTTCAAAGTAAGTAATTGTCAATAGAAATAATACATACTGCTTAAGAGTAGTGCAGTTATTAAAAAATATTCTAAAACGTATTTTTTTGTGGTCGGGAACGATTTAGTTGACATTTTACATTTGCTTGCAGCTTCTTTAGTCACCAATGGTTGCTAGGAAATATCTTCAAAGAATCAATGAGTAAATACTTCACTAAGCGTTAATTTATCTTTGTTAGGATTTAATAAATTGTATGTAATCAAACGGACGAGTACTTAGATCAATTAATATTTTTTATTTTTATGTAAAAATGTCTTATTTTCCTGCCAGTAATGATAATGATGAATTTTTTATAGCTGAAGCAATATAATTAAGACTTCAATTACATAAAATAGACAAAATTTTTCTCTGCATTATGGTTTAAACGTGATTGAAGAGAAATATATAATTAAGTAAAATTACTATTGTATAGATATTCTTATAGATAAAATAGAAAAAATGCTAGTCAATACAAATAAGTAAATGTTACATTTTTTTAACTAACTTCACTACTTTTTGGTTTTGCTAAAGGGAAATCTATTAAATTGTTATATAATATAATTCTCTTAACAAATGCGGGCACAAAATTATAGTCAAAACAATTAATTTTTTTGGCATTTTTTTAAGTATATTCAACCTTTTTGGTTTCAGCAGATTAAAAAGCAAATATCGAACTAAGAAATATAGAAAAATATTTCCAAGTTGGAGAATTAAAAAAAATTAAGAAATAGTTATTAAATCTTCTAATAAATTATGTACAAGTTCATACCAAATTCGTCGAATGCTTAATAATCAAACTAGCACACTCTCTGTTATGCTCTAAAAATATTTCTTTATGTTGACTGACTATTTTTAGGGAATATTCAAGAAATCTTCATCAGATAATGGGCCCTCTCGACCAGTACCCTACTAAAAAGATGAGGAAAACGAAGCCCCAATGTCCGTCATAGTTCAATACCAACCACACTAATGACAAAGTTTCCAATTTTATTCAAGGATCATTCTATAACAAATAATGTTAACTAACGCTATTACTAATAGAAATAACTATTAACTTTCAAATAAATATGCAATACATGTAGCTTTTATAAAATATAAAAATAACCCATATACAGTATGTTTATTCAAATCCTATCTATCCAGACTATCCAGATCTAGCTCCGCAGGATTCATGGCCTCCACCAGTTTGATAGGAGCTTCATTGGTTGCAGAACAGAACCCAAATTGACCAACATGGCAAACGGCAGCCAAAAGAGGGATAACGGTTTTGATTACTTCACATATCTTGTCCAGAGCAGCTGATATTTTGTTGGCATGAGCACCCATAGCGTTACCAACTTTGGAGGCAGCTTGACCAAATCTTAAGAGCTGTTTTCTCTAAAAGTTCAATATTTTCAGTTCTAATCCAACAATTATAGTTGTTTAGACTAACTATGTGATCATGTCATCACTAAAATATAATAAAATTTCCTGCTATTGCAATATGAATTGAATTGAATAATATAATATAACTTTTCTACTTCAGTCGGAATATCTTTCTAATCTTAACTTACTGAACAGTAAACACATACTTGTTTTTTCAGAGGAAATAATTTATAATTGGAAATCCTTCTCTCAAAGTTGGGAGTTTTTAAGATGTTAGTTAATTAAATTATACCTAAACGTTATTGTTTCCTGGCGTTATTTCAAATTACTTGGAAATTTACATCACATACTTATGCTTAAGTATTTCCTTTCATGGTGCAAATAGTATAAGGTAGAAGCAAAGCAATTTAAAAATGTTGAAAGCGCCTCCTTTAGGTTAACTATGAACTTTTACATAATACTTAACAAAACTGGTTTAGTTAGTACTGGGTTCTAAAAGTTGCTTGCTTATAACAACTTCCAGAATTGTTCCATTCCTACAGCTATGTCGATAGGAAAAACTGTAAAGTCTTTATTCTGAATGTTTTAATTTGAGTATGAAAATATATTTGCTTTTAAATAAATTGCCTTTCTCAGCTCTGTAAAATTTTCAAATTGCTTATCTGGCAAAGAAGAATATTGTATATAAATAAGTAAAAAAAAGGTAGAAAACAAAATGGAGCCTTCAATACTGTAGAAGTTTTTGTGTTGTCTATGATCTCTTCTTTGTTAGATGCTCTGGGATTGGTTTCTGCTTATTTCAGATAAGTATAGCAACACCGCATCTCCTTAAAAACCTTTTTAAATGAAAATACGCTTCTTCGTAATGATTCACGAATTTAGATATTTTTTCTATTTTTGTCAGCGTCTTCAATCGTATTTTTCTGTTCTTTTGTTTCCATTCCCAGTGTGTGTGTGGTTTGTAACTCCCACATATTTTTTGCCTTGCAGTGCATGGGCATAGGCGTACGTACCATACGAAGTCAAATATACCTGTTAGTTGAACACAAGAACACTTACAAATACTGAAGAAGACAATTATAAAAAAATCGACTCAAAATGTTCAGAAATTATTGATTATATCTAAACCGAGTATTCCAACTTGTTTTTCATTGAGTTCGCTATATTCCTCGCTTTCTGCTAACGTAGAATTCGAGGCTTTCTAAGAAACTTGATTTTTGTGCGAAAATCGATGAGTTAGTTAGTAATTCCTTTATGAAATTTTCGATTAAAAATCAAAATTTTGGAAGCGTGTTTTTTGCACTCGCTGGATTAATTGCGACCGACCTAAGAAGCTTCCTAATATACATATTTAAAGTTTTTGGTGGTCGGTTTAAAGGAAATATTGTCGGTTAAAGACCTTGATCGGTCAAAAACGATCCAAAACAGACAGAAAATTTTGATTGTTTCTAAACTAAGGAATCTAACCTGTTTTTTAATAAGTTGGTTACATTTTTCGCTTTCTTCTGATGAAAATGATGTAGAATTCGAGGTATTCTCAGAGACTTGAATTTTATTCTGAAATGGACCTCTCCCTTATAAAAGTTTCGATGATAAATCTAAATTTAACAAGCCTGTTGCTAGACAATTGAAAAACTTAAACTATAATTTTATATAAGCCTAGAATAATAGATTTTTATTGTTTTTTATTTTACTGTATTTAACAAGATGGATACAGATACAAGGCAGAAAGATCGATTGAGTCAATACCCTTTTACATTAGAAATAAAGATTGTTAATATTTTATATATAAATATAAATCAGTTTGGAAAGTTGCTCACAGGTACTGTAATTTTATTTGTCCACATATCATGAAAATTTCCGTGGACAAAAATTGAAGAGCAATATCGACCGTTTTTCTACACGTTAAACCCCAGCACATTTTACCACAAAGTACACAGTGGGTCACTACTAATTTTTCTTTATAGCATAATTTTTCTTACCATCCATCCTGGCTCATGTTGAGCATCCGCTTCTGTACTGCTTTTTGAATTTTTCTCACTTTGTATTTCCACAGAGGGTTTAGTGGTGGAAGGCCAATAAGTGACCACACCTCCAGTGTAATAACCGTCGGGAATATGTTTGCTATTAGAAACTACTATAAAAAGTAAAGCTAAGAACGAAACCGAAATTATATTATTCATGTTAAAATGATCCGCGCTCGATCACAGAAATAATGAAATTATTAAAAATACTTTTGTTATAATGGCAAGCTGCTAATCTCTGTGTATATGGAAGCGTATCTTTAAGTTCCATTTGAGGTTTTGCGGTAAAAATATCTGCTCGTGTGGGTACAAATTTAAACCAAATGATATCGAAACAGGAAGCAAAAGTATTGTACTAGACTCACTCAAAAAAAATATATCATTGTTCAGGTATCTGAAAGTGAAAACTCCTAAGTACATCTAAAAAACCTGAAAACAATGGCAAAATAAATGTATTAATCAGTAGTCAAAATGTGTATAATTAAGAATGTGATATTAAATTATCACTTGCACAGTATTTACCTAGTCAAAAATATAGCTAAACTTGATTTAACAGACAGTGTGTGAATGTTAATCCCTTCTTCAAAATGTTCATAGAATTACAAATGCAAAAAAATTTCAGATTTAATTTTTAGACTGAAGAATCGAGATACAAACAAAATTTATAAAATTTGTAGTAATTTCTTTTATTATTATAATATTCTATTTCTTATATTAAACCTATAACAGAAATAAAAATATGTTTAATTGGAAAATACTTAAATTGAAAAATACTTAATCCATCCGTGAATTTTATCCTTCGTAGAATCATTCTGCTGAATTCATAATTTGTAACCCACTCATTCTCCTTTCTATTAAATTGAAGTACTTTATATTTCATGAGGTTCAAGCTGGATCAGAGCATCCAATATGCCCTTAAGTGGCCTAATTTACTCAAAACTGCCTCAAGAAATATATAAGGGTACTCATATGTTATATTTATTTTAATTAATGTTGAACAGTTACGTTAAAAATAGCAAAAAGTTGATCAAAAAATTGGTAATTTCTGTTTATTTATATATAATTATATATGCTGTATTGTACAATTTCTATGAAAATCGAATGTTGCCAATTTATCTTCATCTTCCTTCAAAATGTATTTTAAATGAAACGTGTAGTAGATTTGAGCATCACACATCAAGAACACGGACAACTTGAATATGAAATAAAGTAAAAGAAAAAATGGGAAACCATTCATTTGGTAATTAAAACTATACAATGCCTTAATAAAAAACACATTTGTTTAAACCAAATACTTCGGTATTTGCATATATCAATATTTAAAACTTGTCAAGTAATCTTAGTTGAGTCCTGGCTTTGTTTCATAAAAAATACTGAAATTAATTTAAGTTCATTAATTTTGATTTTGAACGGCAGGTTTTAGGAAAACGTCCGCAGTGAGACCTGCATCAACAGGATGTTTAACACCCATAAATCTGAAATAGCGAATATATTAATTCTAATATATACGTAATATTTGTTGTTGTTGGAGTTTCGCAAGGCTTCTGCCATACCATTAATTTACATTATTTGATCCCAAAGTGGATCCAAGACGAGCAGCAACATTAGCATATGTGTTCACTCTGGTGATCTTGTTAAAATTCGACGAATATATCTCGCGTGTTGATCGAGTTAAAACTAACAACATTTATTTGACTTCCGAATTATATACGGCAAGCAGTTCCTCTTTAAAAGCCAGCTCAGTTCATTTCTTAATGGAATTATCGTTATGTTTACTTTTGGCGGGAAGCGGGCTCTTTTCGCTCTATGTGGCCCACAGCCGGAATCCCTAAAACGTTTCCCCGGTCTGAGCCATATTATAGAGATGTTTTCAAATATTTGCTTAGTCCGGCAAATTTGCACAAAGAGAAATAACTAGAGCATGGTTAGACTGGAAGTGGTATTTTTGATTCGGTATTGACGGCCTTTGGATTCCCTCATTGAAAATTGATCTAGCAACTTCTCCCAACCAAAGCTTAATCGGCATCTTTCCAATTTGTGATGTGTCAAAACACCACGTTTGCAGCAAACACTAACTTGCAAATTACGCATAGGCAAGAGATTACTCTATGTAGGCAACATTAATGTTATTTTCTTAATGAACTCCCTTTGTGTTCTATTTCTTGTCAATTTCAGGAGGCGCCCTAAAGTCTGTGATTTAGATTATAAGGAATTTGCAAACGTCGTGTTTACAAATGGTAAGTTAACCAGACTAATTTGAAAGGCGAATATTACGGCAACAGTTGCAGCCACCAAACCCAACTTAATAATATAATAGATCGTGCTGAATAAAATGTTCACATCTTGGAAACTATTTAGATGAAATCGGATTAACAAGTTGATTGATCTATAACGATCATAAAATTGCCACAAGTGGTTACTAGGGCTGGCTTAGAGTGGCTACATTAAAAATGTTTGGTTGATATTAAGATATTAGTTCCTGAAGATACATTTTCTGTTTTGCTATAAAGAAATATTTGGAGGGGCTGAATATGCATTTGAAATTGAGCTGCTAATTATTGCGAAAATTCCTTAGCTTATGTAACATTTATATTTTTGAAAAATGACGATTCTCTAAGAGTTTGATAAATATACTATTCTATTAGAGTTCAGTATATTAGCTGAGGAATTTTTGGAATAGGAAGTATGGATTTATTAAAATAATTCTTATTGTTCCTTTTTATAATTAGATGGCAGCATCAATTCCTTTGTCATTCTAGTCGAACGGTAATAATGATATTTGCGCAATATTGGTCTAGCCTGAATTTGAGTAATAGTTTCATTCGTAATTTGCAATGTGCAACACAATAAATAAATTTATTGTTTTTGTTTAATTCGTGTTAGAGACTCGATTTATTAACATAACTGCAATAAAGAAAAAACATTGATGCGCGAGTATTTCCTAACGTACCTACTGTATATGCAGCGGAATATGACAAGAAGTAAACTGGTCCTTTTTGACCAAGTATAAATTACTAATTATTACCTTTTTGTGCAGCCTTTTTGCAACTCTCTCTGCACTAACTATATCTATTTAATTTCTTTTAATACTGTATATTTCTGCTTTTAACCCTACTCATGTTTCAACAGAGTACACATCAGTTCTTGTATTCCCATAATAAGTATTCTCTTTGTACTGTACTTTATTGTCAGTTATTTAGAAAGTATGGTATAAAACAATTTTAAGCGAATACGTAACATATTTCAATAACATATAGGTACTTTCACAATTACACAGTTTCCTTATACTACTTCAAATAATTATTCCTCCAATTTCATTCATTTTATTTACTCACCGTTGTGGAGCATTAAAATAAATGCACAACAGCCCTTGCGATTTTCAACAAATTTACGCATTTAAACTGACTAGAAATAATTTGGAAACTTTTACTATTGCTTAAGTATATGAAAAATACACAGTTCGTGAATACAATTCTTCCTTTAAATATATTAAATACTTCTGAAAGCTATTTGAAATATATGCTAGTATTTTTTAAGGAATTTTAAACCATCCTCCTCTTTATTCTATTAATTAGGAGACACACAGTATTGACCTTTTTTCGGAATGTAGGTTAATATGACAATAAAATATACATTTTAAAATAATTATAGTTACACCTCAGAATACTCACAAATTAAAGTATTTTTTAAAATAAGTTCAAAAATGTTTTGGTTACATCAATTGTAAAAACCTAAAACAAAACAACATAGTTATTTGAATTGTGAATAAAGAAAACTATGTTTTCAAATTTTATAAAATTTAATAAACTTGAGCTGTTTTTGCACATTAAAAAAGTAAAAAATGTTGAGTATCTTTTTAGATTCTGTCGCTCCCAAGGCAATAATACATAATTTCGAAACCCACCTTCAAAGTTGAACCTAACTAATTCCGAGATAAGATAAACCAGTGGAAATAAAACGTAATACATATACCCAATATGTCTAAACAGGGACAATATTTCTCCCGTTAATCCCAAGACACATAAAACTCATTCTGCCAGGGGTCACTTTTTAGTCGGGAAATACACACCAATTTAAAGCGACAAAAATTGCTTTTCCTGCGAGACTTTATTATCATTTTCAGTGTTCGCATGGAACACACAACGATATCACCATGTATGTGGTGTTTGCATTTACCACACACCACATCCACGCAGACACTTGCATTAACTGCAATATAGCAGCAGCAGCAATTGATGCATGAATAACTCGATAAATTTAATAAAATTTGTTGTGGGAAATTTAGCGACAAATTGAAAATTTGCTGAAAGTTTGGGTTAAACTAGAAACTGAATCCAAATAAGATGAATAAAAAATGCCATAGAAGCACTTCTGTTCTAACTTTGTACTTTTAACTTTTTATAGCCCAGTCAGTTTATAGTTCGAAATCATTACATGCAGTTAGTTATACATAGATTATAGTAAATCTATTGGAGAAATTATAAATACAAAAATGATCATCTGTCGTATGAGATTCGTTGAATCAAGTATGCAAAAACTCTATTTTCCGAGTCGCAGCTGCCCTTGGTAGGTTGGCAGGAAGAATAAATTCCAAAGTGCTGTGTTTCTGAAACAGTTGAACCGAGTTTTATGCAAATTGGTGCGAAACTGAGAACGAATGTTATTTAGTTCTACATGTCACACATCGCCGACTTCATTACTATCTGTATAAAACTAGATTATTTCGTTCAGATCCTCCAGGGGACAATATCGGAGATTCCCAGTTTCGCTAACAAAACCTTATCAAAAATATATTAAAAGATGTAGTATACAATAAATTGCATTGATTATGTGTAAATATTTCACTGAATATCAAATGAATTAGATAGGCAAAGTATTAAGAAGAAGAATTTTAGTGAATAGTTACGAAAAATGTACCCCAAAAGATTTTCAAGCTTACCTTAAAAGCCAAATATTAACTTTGAAAGGCAACAAATTTAAGCATAAGCAAGGAGAATGTCTTACCAATAACCCCAGTTGAAAATTTTTGTAAATACTGGAATAAATACCCGATTAAATTCTGGCCTTGCAACATATTGTTGCAAGTAACCTTTGGTTTTGACCTGTGTGAAAAAGTGAAGTGAAGGAGAGTGCCATAGAACTCAATTAAAACTAGTTCTCAAAAATTGCCTGATTAGATTGTTTTGCAACCATTCATTCCATTGTGCCATGCAGTTTAATTGGTATATGTAAACCAAGTTTTTACTCCGCCGGACAAACCGAGACAACCATAGGCTCACATTTTTTAATATAGTCTTTTAGCAGCATCTTCTGGTTAGTTTAACAAAGCAACTGGACGGAGTTAAACTTCATTGCTTGAAAAAAACGTTAGAATTCACAATTATACTATCCCACACCAAAATCACTT